AAAACACTAAACATACAGAACAAAGAAAGAATATTAAATGCTGCAAGGGAAAAATGCCAAGTAACATATAAAGGCAGAGCTATTAGAATTACAAATTTCAGAGGAGACTCTAAAAGCCAGAAGGCCCTGGACTTAAGAGCCTTGCAGACTCTAAGACACTGTGGTGCCACTCCAGACTCCCATACCCAACAAAACTTAAAATTAGCATCAATGGAGAAAACAAGATGACGAAAACATGACAAAGTCAAATTTAAACAATATCTATCCACATATCCAGCCCTCCAGAAAGTACTAGAAGGAAAACTCCAACCCAGGGAGATTAACTACACCCATAAAAAGGAAATAATCTCACTCTAAATGAAGTAAGGAAAGGAAAGAATTACAGTCAAGGAGCTAAATGGAAGAGGCTGAGGCATGGAAAATTAGGAAAGACATACACAAAAGGTGTTTCCAGCTAATAGGACTAAGATTATGAATGAAAACAGTACAGGGGCGTTGAGAGAGGATGACAAACTCTATACTGGTGATCAGGTATTCAGAGTGATGGTTCTCTGAACTAACTTAGCAAGATTCTCTGCTGAGCCTAAGCTGAAGTCCAGGCCTGGTAAGGCTAAGACAGAGAGTCACAGCCTAGTGGAGAAGAGCATGGAAAAGAAGGGTTTTGGACACAGGATCCAGCCACCTAGTGATGGTAAGAAAGGAGGCAAGGGTGCTGGAGAGAGGACAGGGCTCCTAGTGATCTCTGAAACTCTAGCCACAACATTCAGGAATGCATGGAGCAGGTCCCAGGCAGGGCAGGAGTCACTTTCTGTGACATGTAAAACCAGCCAGGGTTCAGTTGCATAACACTGAGAGGCAGACCACCAGCCTCTGGGCTGGACAGAACTTCTGGCCACCTGGGAATCAATCCTGCAAGGGGATTGCTCAACCAAAGCCAGCCATCCTGTTTTCCTTGTGGGAGCCTGTAAGCTGAAGCCCAGTAAGATGGGTGGAGCAGCCTGCTGTCCCAGCCAGCTGCCTGTGTCCCCAGAAGTCCTTTCCCGGGTACCTCTCCACTAGGCTGTGGAACACTGCATCTACTCTTGTAAATAGTCTGAGCAGAGGCAACCTGAAGTCAAGACTAGCAGAATAGAAAGTCCCAAAACTCTCTACCTTCCTGTGAGGTGTAAAACAGTCAGATGGCAAACACCAGATACTGCTCACTTACATCTCTCCATGTGGGATGCATCATAGTTCCCAGTGAGATGGTAACAATCCCACCCCAGGCCTAACACTGCACTGAAGTGAGCACATGACCTGGAAGCAATCCATGTCACCCTGAGTTGGTGATGGGAAAAAGAGATAAGGGAGAGAGTACAGAAGTGTGTGCACAAGGGACTTCAGAGCTCAACCCCAGAGAACCCTAGGCACTCGGTAAGGGAAGCTTCAGGCTCTCCCATTTTGATAGGGAGAGCAACAAGCCTATGTTTTGATCACTTTCAGAAACTTCCATAAATACTGTGCTTCTAATATTTCAAACCTTGAATATTCAGGATCTCAACTCTCAACCTATTTGATCTTATCTCTTGAAACACTAGGTAATGTTTTATCTGGCCACTTATCTAAAAATAGTATTATTCCAATCCGCTATTTATTTGTTTGTTTATGCGTGATACTTGGAATTAAACCTAGGGCCTCACACATGGTAAGCAAGCTCTCTACTACTGAGCTACATCTCTAGCCCTCTTTTTGCTTTATGTTTTGGGACAGGTTCTCACCACATAGCACAGGCTAACACTAAAATTTTTAACCACCTGCTTCAGCCTTCTCATTAGCTGGGATTACAGGCCTGTCACACGAGGTCCGGGAATATCCACTTATTATTATAGAGACTTTCTATCACCTCTTCATCTCCTTTCTAATTCAGATCAAGAAACCAACAGCCACACAAGCAAACAACAGGGCTCCCTGAATCTTCTCTTTCGGAAGGACACCATGTTTCTCTCCTGGACAGGTGGACTTATTTTTATTGTGAGCATCCCTGTGGCTCAGCCCTTGGTTCCCTGTTTTTCTCAGGATGCCTGTGGCTCCGGGACACAAACTGTTCTTTGGTGATGAGGTGGGACCACCAAAGCCTGTCACATCTCTGCCACTTACAGCCCTGCAGACCCTGAGAGTTTCTCACCTTCCCTCTCTCACCGCGCCTGACTCCAAGTGGTCCTTACACTTCCTGAAAGTGTCCTGCAGGAGTGTCTGTCCCTTGGGGCTCGGAGGTGCCGGGCAGTGTGATCACAGAGGTCAATATACACACCACTTGTCCCCAACACGCTCTCGCCCACACTAGTCCACCCTGGACCTTCTTTCTAGTGACAAATGATGAGATGAGGAGGGTTCCCCTTGTTTCAACTCACCATGTGTAACACAGTGCTCCTGAGAGTGGAGCCCCAGAAAAAATTGATGTCTGCCCAGCATTCTGTTCAGATGCAGCCCTCTTTTCTGGCTTTGTGTCTACCTCCTCTTTCCTATTTATCTATGATAGCATCACGGACAGCTGTTTGAAGACTTCTGCTTTGCAAATGACAAGTGTCATCTTTACCACAGTTGCTTTGCCTAATAGGGAAATATGAACATTATTAACCTGGAACTCATAGTGGGGTTAGGTGGTAGCCATGCCTCTGGGTCCCCTATTCCAACCCTGAACATAAATACTCACTAGTAATATTGTTGCTTCTTGTTAGATTCCTGCTGATAGGGTCCCATCCAAAGCCTAGATCCAAGATCAGAGCAGAGATGACACTGAGTGACCAGGACATACCACCCCCATCATAATCCCTCTCAGTACCCTTTAAGAACCCAGGGTTTTCCGATGTTTCTGTCAAAAACAGACACCTTCGCTACCAGCTTATTTGTCTCAGGGCCATTTTCAAGCCCAGAGTTAGAGAGTGAGGTCAGCTACCTGCATAGAACCCTACTCTGTCCACTCCTGGGATCCACAGTGAGCCTAGGCTTGCTTTATTATCAGCTGGGGGGGGGATGTCAGCCTACACAGCACCCACTTGAACATACCTTCTGCCTGAGAAGAAAGAGAACTAAGAATCAGATTAAGGAACCAATACGAAGGAACCTCATGGTGCTGCTGCCCCAAAGGGCCAGACATGGCTCACACTGCATATTTACAGGAAGTCCCAGAGTAGACAGAGGAATGAGTCTCCAGGGACAGATGGGCTGGCAAGGGTCCAGTCAGCACCAACAGGGACCACAGAGGCACCAGGGAACTTTCTGAGGTCAGACACATGTCCTAGATTTGTGTGCAATCGCTAAAATTATTTTTCACATATAAAAGCCTTTTATCATGTGTTAATAATACCTCACTCCTACCTGAAAACTAGGTAATCTTCCAATCAGGGGACAAAGTACCAGAGCCACAGTGGGGATCCCTTAGGGGAGCAGCCAGAGCAGATCATGTGCTTTGATGTTCATCCTCATCCTCAGTTCTCTCTCACTAGGCCCCACATACAGCATCCACACAGCCGCCAGAGTGGGAGACCTGTTCTTACCCCTTACATCTTAGACTTACCCCTTCCCAGTGTTCCTTGTTTCTGAACAGGAAAGCCCTCTTGTACCTCATCACCTGAGCAGTGGCCATTCCCTCTGCCTGGTGCCGTCTTCCTGGTCTAGGTGGTACTCCTTGTTTGTTTAAATCCCAAAGGGATCTCTCAACTAATGTCTAGTGGCTCTCTCTCTCTCTCTCTCTCTCAGCATTATAATCACCTGATCTTAATTATCACCTCCCCATACTATCACCACCACCACCAACCTTAAAGCTTAAAGCTTATGTGATACTATAGCCTCTAGCATGGCTACTTAACAGATGCGGGAAGTGGGGCTAGACAGAGTGAACTTCTATCCTAAATGTTACAAATGCACACATACTTTAAAGAATTACTATATACACTAAGTAATATAAGCTATTTGATTAAGAATCATTATTATACGTTGAAATTATTTGATAGGTTAATGAAATGTTAAAATATTCAATGTTTGGTTTTTGTTGTTGGTATTTGTTTTATTTGTTTGTTTAACAAGAGAGTCTCACTGTGTAGCCCCGGCAATGTTTTTTAAGGCCGAATCTCACTGTGTATCCCTGGCCTGCCTGGAATTACAGATGTAGACCAAGCTGGCCTTGAACTATCAGAGATACACATGCTTCTGCTTTCCAAGTGCTGGGATTAGAAACATGAGCCACCGCACCTCACATCAGTAGTTTTTAACCTATGTATTAGAAAGTGTAAAAGACACCTGGGTTCATGTTACATGCTTTATTGGGCAGCCTCCTGCACTGTCCGTTCAGGGCTTGGCCACATATGCTGTCCCTAGATTGGCCTGGCCCAGGAAGATGCCTAGGGTGGTTCTTTTAAGGATAATGATTAGTGACATAGAATGCCACACTCTTCCTCATTACACACACACACCTGCCGAGGTCAATTTATTTTCCTTTGACAAGTGTCTTAGGAAAGAGCTTGAAGAAACCTGAAATAACAAAGAGGCCTTCTAAGAGTGTTCCCGGATACTGACACAACACTCACAGATCAAGGTTGAACTCAAAGTTAAAAACTGGTTGCCCTTTTCCTTTCTAGAGAAACAGTTCAGATGTCAGGGACATTTTAGGATCCAGAGAGCAAAGACTTCTCTCCTGAAACCAGACTGCAAGAAACTGGGAACTTAGAATGAAAGGGGAAGCTGTGGAAAGAGGGCCCTGGAGAAGAGGAACTGGGAAAATCAGAAAACTAAGCTTGAAGAAGAAAGGGAAGGGCAGGAAGGGAGAGAGTGAGAGAGGGAGGGAAGGGGGAGTAGGAGAGGGAGTTGGGCAGCTCTTGAGGCAAGATCAGACCCTGCAGAGAAAAAAGGGACTACAAGTCCAGATGGAAGAGGGCAGGACTGTGCGAACAAGAGGCCCTAGAGCGAAGGGGCGGGGCGAAGAAGAGGGGAAGGGTGTCGGCCGGAAAAGGAGGAGCCGGGAGAGGAGGGCTGGTCCCCACTCTGGCAATTAGTTATAAGCAGCGCGGTGTGAGCAGGCTCTGTTCAGCCGCAACTCCGAGTTCTGCTGGCGCTCAATCCCTTTGTCCCAGCCAACCATGGCTAGCCCGCTACGCTCCCTGCTGCTCCTGCTGGCTGTCCTGGCGGTGGCCTGGGCCGCGTCCCCCAAGCAAGGTATGCGCTTGGTGGGCGGCGTGATTGATGCAAACGCCAACGACACCGGAGTGTTGGAAGCGCTGAACTTCGCCATGAGCGAGTACAACAAGGAAAACAACGACGCGTACCACAGCCGTGCCATACAGGTGGTGAAGGCACGTAAGCAGGTGCGTGTCTCAGCTGTACCCCTCCTCTCTGGCGGCTCTGGACCACTGAGGCCCAGGGATTTGGTCAACGGGAGCGGTCCTCTTCCGTCCCTGTTTCTCAGCCCTCCTCGATGTGTTTCCAGCACTATTTCCCTTTAGTTTTTTCTGAAACTCAAAAGAGCACGGCGGGTGGGCACCAACCGTCCTAGCTCTTGTTTTCAAAAATCCACCAAGCAGAGCAAAGGCACTAAAGATGTAGGTCAGATCCCGTCCCCAGTCCGCCTTGCCCCCCCTCCCCCCAACGCCCGATGAGCTTGCAGCCATCAGCTGTTCTGGGATCAGTGTCAAGGGCTGGGGGAAGGATAAACAGGGCCCACAGCTGTCCCCACTGGTTAAGAGTCTTTCTTTAAAACTTCTTAATTCTGACAGGCAGGCACTTTCATCCTTTCCCTCCAGTAAACACTTGGCCCTGTACCTGGGTGTGTGTTTATGTGCATTTATTTTTGTGGATGCTTTCAGAGTAAACACTTACTGAAAATAAGGGCACTCTCTACATACCCTAGATTCCATTTGGAAACTTGGGAATTTACAGATAATTAGTTCCTTCACTCAAATTTATTTTGCTGGTCTCCATTATGGACTCCTGGCAAGTGCTGTTTCTGTCCATTCTGGTAGCCTGGCTTTCTCTGAGCAGAGCCTGCGCTGCCTTGCTGTCCCTGGCAATGTGGAATGGTCCAGCCAGTTGTGGTGATCAGTCCTGTGCCACATGATGAGCTGTAGGATGGGGTGGTTCTCTAAGGTTAATGACCTGTGATGCTGCAGCTGTTTTAGCTTGTACATGTGCTTTTTGAGTCTCCACAGTATCCCCAGGACACTTTTCTCAGAACAGGCCCCTATCCCTAAGAGACTATGTAGTCTGCTGTAACGTTGCTGCGGGTCACCAGGCAAGTCCCTTCTTGGGTCTTCTCAGAAGGAGCCAATCTAGCCGTTCTGGGGGCCTTCCTTCCCTCTACTTATTGGCCCTGGGGTATCCTTAGGAGCAGTCTCAGGATCTGTTAATTGCTCCCAAGACAGCACAAATGTTAGCCAATAGCCCTCCACCCACTGGGTAGGTGGGGACTTCCTTAGACTTAGACTCTTGACAGAGGAGCCAGCATCAAGGGCTGCTAGGCCCCAGGTTAACCCAAAGGAGGGTCAGATTTTAAACCACAAAGGGTTGTACACCAGAGCTCATTTCAGTTTTCTTTTGAAAATGCAAACAAGTGAAATCCTGCTCCATTTTTTCTGCTGTGGTGATCAACCTTCAGAAAAGCCATGCGCTTCCCTGCTGCCATGGACCTTGATGGACAGTGTGACTTGTAATTGTGCCACTAGATGGAGCAAAGTATAGGGAGTTATAGGTTATTGGGTCTTTGGGTCTCATTTAACTGGTGGGAAAACCAGGACCCCACCCCCAAATCAACATCTGTGTTCCTGGTCCTGCAGAGCAATATACAGATCCCTGCCCTCTGACCCAGATTTCTTAGTTTGTGTTTCACAGGTCCGCCAAGCAGGTCTGGTGCCCATACAGGGAGAGGGATAAGTTCTCTTCTTAAATTGCAAGTGGAAGACATACAGCTGAATGACACACTTCAGGAAATTCTGAGTACTCAGTGAAGGAGGAGACATTTAAGAGTGGTCTTTCCTCTCGTTTGAAACATCCTGTGTGTGAAGCATCCTGTGTCCCCTTGTCCCTAGGAGGAAATCCGGGTCAAAAAGGGGAATGGGTTCTCTAGGCTGCATACTGTGAATGGGGAAGGTGTGGCTGTCCTCCAGTGGTTCAGTGTCTCAGCTGGAAGAGCCACAGTGACTAGGATTGAGTTAATCTTCTCCCCACCCCTCACGCCCTGCAGCCCAGAGACTTTGATTATGCTCAGAACAATCCCAGGTGCCTAGAACACCCCCCCCCCCCCCCCCCCCGCTGTCTTCACTTTCCTTCCTGACTTGCATTTTTCTGCCCTGGCTTCTGCCTTTTGTGCCCTTCTCCTCTTACTCAGCTACATATGACAGCTTGTCAGAGTTTGCTCAGAATAAAAGAATTACCAACAGGGCTTGAGGCCACTTGTCGGGAAGAGTTAGCTTGTGTTCTCTGAGTAAGAGTTTCTGGCCATTCATGAATCCAGGCATAAATCCTAGGTAAACACATTAGTTCTGTGATGTAACTGGGTATAAGTGACTCGACTGGACTGTTGTCAGTGAATCCTGCTCTTTTCACTGTAGATCGTGGCTGGAGTAAAATACTTTTTGGATGTGGAGATAGGCAGAACCACATGTACCAAGACCGAGACAGCCTTGGAATTGACTAAGTGTCCTTTCCATGAGCAGCCTCATCTGATAAAGGTATGTACCTGATATGGGCCTAAGGGCAAACATACAGGCAAAGAAGTTGATAAATATGACATCATGTAGAGATGAGTATATTTGGAGAGACTGCACGCAAGTGGAGAAGTGCATGTGTGTGGAGTGGTGGTTCGTGATGGATGCAGGTGGATATTGGGCACATGTGTGTTCATGCCAATGCAAACCTGTACCCATGTAGGGCTAAGGGGAGGGATTTATGTGCACATGATTTGATTATGTGCTGAATGAATTTATCCTGAGAATTGGGGTACTGGGGGAACAATTATTCCTCCTGGACTAGAGGTAGGTATAAGGATTTTTGCTGGGGAGAAAGGCTTGGTCTAATCCTGGCCAGAGCCACCTGCCTGGACCACACAAAACAGAACAGAGCCTATTTGAGGATTGAAATCCTCCAGTGCCTTTTCTGTTGTGCCCCATGCTTGCTGTAGGTGGAATTTGTTCATGTGACACCATGGCTGTGGCGATAGCTACATTTCCCTTATCATCTTTGTCTGTACCTTGTCACTTTTAGAGGTGTATCCCATTCTTTCCTGATGCCCTTCTTAGTGCTGGCCTAGATAGAGGGGCTCATGGGTCATGAGCCTTTGACCTCTAGGGCTTGACACTTTACACAGACTATTCCTTAACAAGCTGTGCTGGGGCTAAAGAATATGGAATCACAGAACCAGGAAAGGGGTCACATGTCATCCAATAACAGATATGAACAGACCCTGCTGAGTGTCCTGGGACTCAGAATGGGGAAACTGTTTCACTTCCCTCATTCTACATACCTGCTCCATCATTCTGGGATGGGTATTTCTCTTTTTTTAACTATAGCCTCATACTGATTGTTCCTCTCTGTTCTCTTTTGCAGAAGGCATTCTGCTCCTTCCAAATCCTCAGTGTGCCCTGGCTAGGCAAACAAACCCTGACGAGATCCAGCTGCAAAAGCGCTTAAGGCTGAGTCCAGTAAGGTGATGCAGACTGCTCCTTACTTGTGCTCTTTCCCTGTAGTGCTTCAACCCTCAGAAAGGCTCTCCAGCTCTCGAGGGCATCTCCAGTGTGGCAGCACCAGGAGAAGCTGCTGCAGGCAGGTTCTGCACGTCTGAACAGCTGTCCCCTGGTTCTGCCCTTCTCCTTGCAGTACCTGTCAGGCCTTGCTCAATTAAAAAGGAAAAAAAAAAATCCTTTGGCTTTGTCTGAGTTGCTTCTGTCTTGGGATATGCAACAAGGGAAAACAGAAAACAGCAGGTAAAGGCTTGTGTCTACATGCATATTAGGATGAGCCCTGTTGCTTTATGAAATATCCAGGACTCAGAGCAGATAAAAAGAACAGAAAGAGGCAGGGAACTTGGTGTCAGTCAGTTACAGTGGTTCCTTGGCAGATGCCCAAGGGCCAGGCGTGACCTGAGCTACCACAGTTAAGAGTTAGTTAGTGAGGCAGGCAGAAGGTGCCATAGATGGGCCCAATCTCGCCTATTTTTGCAGAGGTGACTTGATGGAGGGAACTGCCCTCACTAAGAGACTCTGTAAATGATAATTCTATGTATCCTGGATACAATAGAAACTGTGTTTCTGATGTGTGTGTGTGTGTGTGTATATGGACTCAAGGGTAAAGCCCAGCACATCTGGAACCTGCCTGCCTAGGCATGAGTGCCATAACTTGGGATTTGAGCCAGTTCCTATACTCACCCCGTTCTGTAAAGTAGGAACTGTAATAGTTCCTCCTGGGATTTATTAGAATTAAATATTATCTATACATTTTATAATACAGTAGAATGTAATGTATCAACTTTATTGTATGAGAACATAGTAATCCAGCCAAGATAGTCATAGAATTTGCTTTAATGACCTACTCCATTTTGTTTTTTCGGAACTATTCCATTTTCTTAAAATACTTTTAAAATTTTTTGTAACATTTTAATTTTGTTTTTACCTTTTTTAAAACATTTATTTTTATTTTATGTGCATTGGTGTTTTGCCTGCCTATATGTCTGTAGGTGCCAGATCCACTGGAAGTGGAGCTATAGACAATTGTGGGTGCTAGGAATTGAATCCTGATCCTCTGGAAGAGGATCTTAACCACTGAGCCATCTCTCAAGACCCAGTTTTTTAAAATTTTTATACAATATATTTTGGTCATATTCTTTCCCCTCCCTCAGCTCCTTCCAAATCTCTCCCAACCACCAAAAACTTCATCACCAATTTCATAGTCTTTCTCTTAAAAAAAGAAAAGAAAACTCAACAAAAATAAAGAACCCAGAACTCACACACACACACACACACACACACACACACACACACACACACACAGACACACAGACACACAGACACACAGACACAAACTGGACTAACTGCCAAACGTCATTGCTAGGGTACTCTAGTCTTACCAGGTTTGTGACTTTATTTTCTCACATATTTCACTTTTCCTCAGTACCTTCCATTTCTCCACAATCTTCTTCCACTCTCCCTCCTTCAGCAAGTTCACTGGTTCCTCAGTGTGGCAGAATATTCCAGCATATATCAGAATTTTCCACTCCCAGCTAGACACTCCAATCACAGAGCTCACTAAAATAACATCTGTCCTTTGATACTGAACTGCAGCATTTGTTTGTCTTTGGGCGAAGTCCAGGCCACTTATGAGCTGACTAAGGGAACTAGCCATACTTCCTAGATACCAGCAGGCAGTGATCCTGAAAAGTGTTTTCCCATGGCCCTGTGCTCCTGGGACAGTCACACTAATCATGGCAGAGGCACACCTCTAAAGAGGCTGCCTTACAAGTCGCCAAGGCCCCGCCTTATGACAAGATCCACCCTGCCCTTGTGTCTGGAGCTTTGACTTGGCTCAGCAGTGAAGGTAGTCCATCCTCATCCTAGATTTGCATATCTTTTGCATATCTCTGTGATTGTCCTGAGCTGGAACCTGACCCAGGTTGTACTCTGAAAATTCTCCAGTGATCCATAACAACTCAGTTAAATTCAAAAGGTGAAGCGGCAGCCTACACACACACACACACACACACACACACACACACACACACACACACA